CGGGCACCTATGGATGAGGACAGTGGGTGGGGAGTGAGGGCGGGGGTGGTGCGGGAACTGGGAGGAGGGGAGTTATGGTGGAAAAAAGAGGAACAAATGTAATAATCTGAACAATAAAGATTTAATTTAAAAAAAAAAGTAAACAGCAAGGTTTTTTGGTTAATCCTTACCTGAAGATATTTTTTAAATATATATTTTTATTGATTTCAGAGAGAGGAAGGGAGAGGAAGAGAAAGAAACATCAATGATGAGAATCATTGGTCGGCTGCCTCCTGCACACCCCCTACTGGGAAATGAGCCTGCAACCTGGGCATGTGCCCTGAAGGTAAATCGAACCATGACCTCATGGTTCATAGGTCGATGCTCAACCACTGAGCACACCAGATGGGCCTGAAGATATTTTTCCATTCATTTTTTAGAGTAGGGGGTGAGGGGGAGGGAAAGACAGGGGAAGAGAGAGAGGAAGAGAGAGAAACATCAATGTGAGGAACACATTGATTGGTTGGCTCGAACACCAACCCCGATTGGGGCTAGGGGTCGAACCTGCAATCCAGGTATGTGCCCTTGACTGGGAATCGAACCTGAGTCCCTTTGGTGCACAGGCTGACCCTCCAACCACTTACCCACACTGGACAGGTCAAAAGTAAACAAGAGTTCTAAGTATTTAACCGTTTACCTGTTGTTGTCGAAGATTTCAAAGCCATAGATATCCAATACACCAATAACAGTGTTCTTCCCATGCACTGTGGTGTCATAGTTCTTGACCTCAATAATATCATTGATGCGAGTCACAATCCAACAAAAAAGGCGCTCGTATATTGCCTGTGAGGAAAACAACATCATAAATTCTTGCTGGTTTGGGATTGAGTCTCTGTTTCGGTTGTAATATGTTTTAAATTCCTCTCCTTCTCCTTCTTAACATTTAGCATAGCTGTTATTACCCGAAGCAGAACAATACGAAACGCAGATTGTCTGATAAAAAAAGCAATGTAATGGATGCAAAACTAAATGGTTTGAGTTTTTAAGATTATTATCAGTATTATGCTTATTGTATTCCAACAACTTCCCCAGCTACATTTCCATACTCAGCTATTTCAATAATTTGCCTACTCTCCCAGGTAGGGGGTGTGAGAGGGAACCATCTGAGCGAGGGACCCCCAAAGCAAATGCCCTGGGCTTGCCAGTCGGCTGGTCAGCTTTGCTTTTCTCAGATCATTTTCCAACAGAGATGCTCACAGTCAGGGGTGTTGATGTAGACTGTGATGGCCAAAAAGTATCATGACCAAAGTCTCTAAAAGCCTGAAGCTACTTTCAAGGGACCTCTGAACACATCCTCACAGCAATTCACTAAAACTGCAACTGAGCCTGGCGGGCATAGCACAGTGATTGAGTGTAGACCTATGAACCAGGAGGTCACGGTTCAATTCTGGTTGGGGCTCGTGCCCGGCTGTGGGCTCCATCCCCAGGAGGGTGTGTGCAGGAGGCAGGCAATCAATGAGTCTCTCTCATCACTGATGTTTCTCTTTTCCCCCCTCATCCTTCCTCTCTGAAATCAATAAACATATTTTTTTTAAAAGTAAATAAGATAAAATGAAACTGAGACCCACACCAGGCCCAGAGAACATGAGCTGAAATCCCACCTTCGCGAAGGCGTCCCTGCCGTAGCACGCTTCCTGCTCCGTGTGCTGCTTGTCAATGATGTCACGCCCTGTGGCCACAGTCCGGTAAAGAAGGGCTTTCTCAACCATGTCCGTCTTGGTGGAGAGCAATTCTGCTAGGATGGATACGACCTTGCTGTTTTCAATGAGAGGCGTGTCACCATCCACTACAAATTTTAAATTTCCCTATACCAGGAGTGAAGAAATGAGACACACCATTGCCAATGAGATTCTGAAACAGTATGTCAGGGATAGTTATATAATGCAAAGTGACTTTGTTTGTAGCACATATTTTCCTAAATATCCTATCTAATGAAAGAGTAATATGCAAATTAACCATTACTCCAACACAAAGATGGCAGCACCCAGTCCTCTCAGCCCCGCTGGAGTCCTCCAGTCCGGGGCGGGGGTGAGTGGGGGGAGGGCACTGAGAGCAGGGGCTGCTCGGCCGTCGTTGCGCCAGCGACCCGGGAGCGGCCAAGCAGGCCCTACAGACAGCAGAGAACCATGGGGAGCAGGCCTAAGCCATCAGTAGGACATCCCCTGAGGGCTCCTGAATTGGAGAGGGTGCAGGTCAGGCTGAGTGACCACTCCCCTGCCCCCGTGCACAAATTTCATGCACCGGGCCTCTAGTATGACATATAAATACCTAGCGCTTCATCCATTATTTTTCCTCTCTTCTCCAGATACCTGTCTCTTTTAACTTTCAGTATATGTTTTTGATGGGTAGATGTTTTATATTTTGATGTAGTCAAATCTATGCATCTTTTCCTTATGAATCTTTCTTGGGTGTCATACTTAGACCATCTGTACTCCAAAGATTTTATAAGTATTCAATATTTTCTTCTAATAATTGAACAGTTTTTTCGTACATCTGAGCTTTTGATCCACCGAGAATTTGTCTATATGTAGGGTAAAGTAAGAGTCTAACCTTGTTTTTTCTGACAGTTTGTTAGTTGCTCCAATAGTACTTATTGAATAGTTCAGCTTTTCATCCTGATTTGAAATGTTACCTCTATTATATAGTAAATCCTCTCCAAGTTGTTGAGTCTATTTATATTCCATTCATTCAAGAAACACTTACTAACCAAGTGTCCAGCACATCAGCTAATCGGTTATTAAGCTGGTGAATTTTGCAACAAGTTTTAAGGTTTTATAGCTTTTATTATCATTTAAAATCTGGTAAAAATTAGTCATGTTTCCTCTCCCCCCTTCCTCCTACTCTACTCTTCCTCTTTAATACATTTTTATTTGCTCCTCTTACATGTTTACTGTTCCAGGTAAATTCTAGAATGATTATGGCAACTTCAAAACAAAATTTCTATTTGGATTCCAGAGGATACTGTTATAACTATATTTATAAAGTAGTTTTAGGAATGAGACAATTTATCACATTAAAGTCTCCCAGTCAGAAACATAAGATATCATTTATATTGCTACATAGTATTTTTATATAGGTCCTGATTCATTTAGAGTTAAATCTTGTGATGGTAAAGTGCAAGGTAATTTTTATTCCATATTTGAATTCTTGCTGTCACTCATTTATTGTAAGGTTGCATGTTCATTATGTTTTAAACATGTCCAAATATACAGGGGCGGGCAAAAGTTGGTTGACAGTTGTTTGCATGGAAAGACATGCAGGCTATGATTATTACAACAGCTGTATTAACTCAAAAGAATGTCACAATGCAACTGTGAACCTACTTTTGCCCACCCCTGCACAGATGGTTAATGAAAGAAATCTAACCTAGGGTTCCTCCCTTTCTCTGGGTTTGGTGTGGGGTCATGGAAAACAACTGGACCATAATGCAGCCAGTGTGGTCCATGGTGCTGGCAGCCGTGAACTCTGTGCCTCTGACCCAGTCATGCTGCCCCCATTGGGCTCATCCCCCAACCTGCAAAACGAGACCATCAAAACTCCAATGTTTCCAATGCTGTTAGGAATTTATTCTGTCCAAAAGTTTTTAGTCAAATCATTGCTGAATTCTTTCATTCTTGAGATGAACCACTTCAAAGTCAGACATACCAATAAGATAATTAAGTCAAGCCACAGTCTCAAATCCTACCATGGCTTGGAAAATATTATTATATGGTGGAGAGAACTCTTGATGGAGAAATTCCTTCAAAAGATTACTTCTGAAATCTATAAGGGGGAAAAAAAACACCCAAACTCTTCTGAAAGAGCATCCTACCTCCATAGGGAGGTGACAGATTCTGAGAGACGACCTACTCACCAAGTGAAGAATAGTTGCCAAAATTTTATACACGGTCTGAATCTCCTCAGGTTTGAAGCCAATTACTTTCATGGCATCAGCTACCACTTTGAATTCGGCGGCATCATTGATAGAAGACTAGGAATGAAAATGGAAAAGTTAAGTCACAGGCATTTCACATGAGCATTACAACAATGATGAGACGAAATTTAAGTTTAGTCAAGGTCTTGATGCTTGTGTCGTACGTCATTAAGAATGCAGAGAAAATAAAAATGATTTCCAGGGTAGAAACGTCCTGCAGCACCAACAACGCCCACTTGTGTGTGAGAGCTGCTGTCACTCCTGGACCCTCCAGGAGGGAGCAAGCCCTGAGCTGACTCAGCGAAGGGGATCGCTGCTCTGGGATGAGGGAAGGAAACAGCAGGGGATGTGAGCTCCAAAGGGAAACCCTGGCTGTGGAGCCTCCAAGACACACACATGCCTGGCATCATCTCCTGGCCTTTGGTCCCTCACTCGGTCTTGCCGAGGCTGGAAACAGCACTCTCTCTCCTGCACGGCCAGGCTTCCAGTTTCACAGGTGAGGAAAAGAAGACCCTCAACGCAAAGCAACCTGCCTCAATCATTCAGTGAAGCTAGTAGTCAACAGTCTGGGCCTATAATTTCACCTTTTCACAGACATTCAGTGCATCTGACCTTCTAACTGGTTCAGGGGGTTTGCTATAGATGAAATGCCTGCGTCCCCACAGAATTCCCAAGTTGAAATCCTAACCCCAAAGGCGATGATTTTAAGAGGCGGGGCCTTTGGGAAGCGATGAGGTCATGAGGGTGGAGCCCTCACAATGGGGTTAGTGCCCTTTTATCAAAGAGGCACAGAGACTTATTGTCCCTCCTGCCCTGTGAGGAGGCGCCACCTATAAACCAGGAAGCGGGCCTTCACCAGACACTGAATCTGCAGGCACCTTGATCGTGGACTTGCCAGCCTGTGAGAAATAAACATCTGTTGTGTATTATAAGCCACCCAGCTTATGGTATTTTTGTTGTAGCGGCCGACTGGAATAAGCCTTGAGGAGCTGTAGCCAGCAGGTTAGAAACCTAAGTATATTAATAGAAATGCACAAGGAAGCAATGGCAACTGCCTATCTTCAAAGTTCTTCCAAAGCAGCACCTGGCGGGCCAGACTGGCCCTTTCCCTGGCAAGTTTCTCACCTGCTGAGAAAGGGCACAGGAAGGGGTCCTCAGTGTCTGGGACACAAACACGCAAGGTCCTCCACCTACCTGTTCCTTGACCTTGGACAAGACACTTCACCTCACTGAGTCTCAATTTCCTCATGGGTAAAATGGACATAATAACTCATTTCTTACAGGACTGCTGTGAAAACTGAATGAGAATTCACAGAAAGCACCTGCTTAGTTTTAACACATAGAAAACACTGGACAAGTGTCAGAGGTTACACATAAACTGTGATCAATAATTATTTCTGGATGGTAGGCTTCAGCATATTTTTGTTTCCTTTAGGTTCACCTTTTTTAAGAAGACACTATGACCATGTATATAAGTCTTTGCTTTTATTAGAGAGGAAGAAATAAAAAGGAGGAATGGAAAACTTTGATGAAAAGGGAACCTAAACTAAATTTAGCTTAGAGAGAAGGTTAAATGTTCATTTAATTCTTGCTTTTCGGGGGGCGGTGAGGGGGGACAGTTGGGGAAGGGGCTCTGTATGACCTGGCCAAAACTAATTTGGTCAATAAGACAATTTGATAAAAAGGAATGTTTTTTAAGTGTTAGATGTATAGTCCTTTATGCATCTTTAGTACCTCTGGCCTATCTCAGAAGCTGGAGTGTTGTCCTCTAATGTTGATTTTAATTAATTTCTGGCCAAATACCCTGTTCTCTGATGAATGTAAAAGTAAAAAATAAAATAAAAATCATGCAACTTAAATGTCAAACGATGGAAAATTAATTGCAAAACCCTAAATATAATTTATTTCTATGCAAGGCAATAAAAATACAGGTAAACTAGTAATGCAGGTATCATTAGCTTAAGATGAATAATAAACATTTTGAAATAAAAAGAACACCTCCCACATCTTAGATCCCTGCCTTTTATATATTCTCTTATTTTCCCCCCAATGCATTCTTAATTATAGAAGACATTTAAAATATGGAGAAGCAGAACACAAATATCTGTAATACCATTAATCCAGAATAAACTATTAAAATGTTGATCTATTTCTCTCTATATCATATTTTATGTATTTGTAAACAGTAACTTCCCCCAACAAATTAGGATAATACTGTGACTATTGTTTCATATCCTACCACCAACAAACTATTATTAGGGTTAGCTGAAAAATGACCAGCGGAAAACCAACTAAAATAAAAGCAAAAAGTACCTGCATTGCGTGCAAGGACTCGTATGCAAGGAAAGGGGGAGGGGGGGAGGTAAAATGTCAAAGCTAAACGGAAATGCTGCAAGGGTCACAAAACTACTGCTAGGCTACATCAATAGCTGAAAAAATAGTGAATGGAGAACTTTGATAGTCATTTCAACCAAAATGTTCTTAAATTTTCTCTTGTCTTAACAACTTGCCTTTGGCCAAATCACATGGTATTTTCTTTTGAGGTGGATTTCCTAATCATACAGTAACATTTTTATAGTGTCAAAATAAAAGAAGAGGATTAAAAATGAAAAGAAACCACAAGATCACAGGAGAGAAACTTCCTGTCAGATGGTGATAAGATAAAGTCATGGGTTATTAGGCAAAGTTGTTGAGTCAATCATGCATTGCCTCTCTGCCCCTGAGAATTTTAATAAGGGAAGAGTCATTCATTTGCCTAAAGGCAGCAGGCTGGACCCAATAATTATGTAATGTTCCCTCCCTTTCTCTGACTCTATCTGAGCAATCTTAACGAGGAAACACTCACCTTTAACTGAGCTCCGACATGGATGTAGTTGTAAGATGAAAGGGATTTCTGGAGATGCAGAGAGCGGAGCATCTGTTCAGAACCTCCTTGGAGTAGCTGAAAAATAACGTAAAGTAAATGAGCAAAATACATACTAAACTGAATACAGCAGATGTCCTGACAATGGCAATCCAGCTTTTATTCATTTTCTGGGCTTCATTTACTGAGGTCCTCCTATTTCTGGCTTTAAAGTTTTCTTTTGTTTCGTTTTTTGTTGTTTTTTACCTTGAAGGTAAACGGTTTCAGTAGTTATCAGTCATGGAGAATGTTATACAATCGTGAAGAAAATAACTTTAAAAGTCTTAGTTCTTTCGTAATAAAACTGGCATAAAGGTTTTTGCTTTTCCTCTGATCATTTGTAAAACAGGAGCCCAGGCTCTATGCTGGTTACTTGCTTAGCAGCCTCAATACCCAGACAGGTTAGAGTTGTGTTTGAGAATTCAGAAAAGTCAATATTGCCGTGGAAGTAAGAGGTACCCGCAGGCAGTCATAGGCTGAATCACAATGGGAAAAACCAGCTTTCCCTCATCCAGCTCTGGGTCTCAGGCAAGGAGGACAATTGGATAACTGAAAGTTTGCACGTGGAAATCAATCTTAGTGATTTATAATTTTATTTTATAAAAATCCAAGATGGTATTGTTTAATTTGGTCACCCAGTTTATTTATAAGCACTGGTTTATATTACATTGGGCTCTAAAAAAGTATAATAAAGTATCAGACTTGTTTTCTCAGTAGAAAGACGCCAACAGGAGGGCTATTCTAAAAGATTCTGTCTTAGTCACTAAGAGCATTCCCAAAAGAGGTATTCAGTTTTTTTTCCCAAAGCAATCACAGCTTTGATAGGGTAAAGACAACAATTCTCTTGAATTATAAATTCATTTTTAAGTACTCATATCGCTTTATAGTCTCCAAGAGCAAAATAAACGGAGTTTGTGCTCCCACCCCTAAGTTCCCAAATTGAACAGCTTCATTTCAAAATAAAACAAAATTAATTTAACATATTCAGGATGTCCCACTTCAAGAGCTTTTACAAGTCATTTAACTGTTAGCTACACTGCAAAGAAATGCAGGTGCTGCTCAACCAAGGCAGTCACCTGGCTGGTTACCCACCTGGCAGTTCTGTCTCAGAGTCATGCTACTCAAATCTCTGAGGACGCACATGGGGTAGGATGTGCACATGCGTGTGCTGTGTCATGGGCCAATGGAGGCAAGGGAGGCACAGGACAGGGGAGAACCCCAACATAAACACATTCATTTCCTGCACAACTGAGCAAATGATCAATTATCTGCACCACAGATGACTAACCTGATAGAAAGAATGAAAGCTCCTTTCTCCTGGCTGTTGCACAATCACTCGAGACTAAGAAACAAACAAATTAAAATGATTAATTTGAGAATGTACCCCTGAAGCAAAACAGGAGCCACCCTCTCAGGGAGTGCTGTATCAACAGTGAGTGTACATGTCCTGAGGATCCCATGCACAGTACCCATCGAACGAGGTCTCCTTTATGGGGCTTTCTGTGCAACTTTTTAAAAAAAAATATATATTTTATTGATTTTTTTCACAGAGAGGAAGGGAGAGGGATAGAGAGTTAGAAACATTGATGAGAGAGAAACATCAATCAGCTGCCTCCTGCACACTCCCCCCTGGGGTTGTGCCCGCAACCAAGGTACATGCCCTTGACCGGAATCGAACCTGGGACCCCTTGGTCCGCAGGCCGAGGCTCTAGCTAGCCACTGAGCCAAACCGGTTAGGGCTCTGTGCAACTTTTTGATAATTTTTTTTACTGCTTAAAACAGAGTTCTTGACCTTAAAGATGAATTTTTTTTTGGAGGAAAAAATTGGAAGTGGAGAGAATAGGAAGGAGCAATTAGGGATGAATAGCTTCAACATTCCCTTCCCCAGGGCCTGCTGGGATTGCAAAGTGCAATGCCTTATATTCTGTAATAAAATCAGTTGAGTAAGATCAGTCTACAGAGACCCCTGCCTGACATGGTTCCCAAAAGACTGCTATGAAGAGGCTGCTACTATGAAAATGCATGTTCATTCACAGGGGCCCCCTTGACTGAATATGTACATGAAGTGAAGCCATGAAACATTTGGAAAAACCCTGATAATACCTGGCATTTCCTATCCTTTTAAATTGCCTCTGATAGAAACAGCATAGTTTCCTTATTAGTTTGACTTCAATTTCACAAACAAAAATGGACTATACTGCATTGTACTCCCATAAAATAGAAACGAGAAGAAAATGAGATTTCAAATTAATCAGAAGTAAAACATATGGAAGTAGGAAAGCAATACGTTGTATACCTTAAGCCTATACAATGCTATATGGCAGTTATATCTGAATTTAAAAAAGAGTATGGACATGATTGTTTGAAAAGAGTGTCATTCAGGGAATGAACATGATAGTTCTTCTGCAATGCATTAAAAACAAACAAAATGCCCTAACTGGTTTGGCTTGGTGGGTAGAGCATCAGCCTACGGACTGAAAGGTCCCAGGTTCGATTCTAGCCAAGGGCATGTACCTTGGTTGCGGGCACCTCCCCAGTAGGAGGTGTGCAGGAGGCAGCTGATCGATGTTTGTCTCTCATTGATGTTTCTAGCTCTCTATCCCTCTCCCTTCCGCTCTGTGAAAAATCAATAAAATATATTTTAAAAACAAAAACAAAAAACAAAAAAACCCCCAAACAAACAAACCAAAAACCCCCAAAACATATGGGAGGTGGTGATGTATAAAAAGGGTAGAACTGATTAGTCCTCGATTGGTGTTTGGTTAAAACTTATCCAGAAGTGGGCACACACTCACAGACCACGCCCACCCCTCCCACTCACATATCTAAATCTTTACCTACAAAATCTGTAACTTTGTTGAACTTCCTACTGTAAATGCTAATAAAAGAACATGAAAGGAGAATATCCTGTCACAGAAAGCTAACTGAGGAGCAGGGAGAGAGGGAGAATTAGATTAAAAGCTACTTTGAAGCAATTAAAGAAATTCTCTAATTAGGTTTATAAAAACAACCTTCAGCACTTATGTTACCCTGAGAGATCAAGCACATTTTACCTTCTCCAGTAAGTAGTTACTGATATGTCCGCCAATAGGGTCCCCCTTGAAATCAAAGTTGATATCCATGTATTTCCCAAACCTGCTTGAGTTGTCATTACGGTTGGTTTTGGCATTTCCAAAAGCTTCCAGGACACAGTTGGACTTAAGTAGCATATTCTTCACCCTTGAACACAGACAAATCAAAGTCTTTATAAAAAGTTTTAAAGGCTGGGCCTTAAAAAAAACTAGACTTCATTGAAAAGCATGCAAATATTCATACAAAGATGTTTACTACAGCACTGTTTGCTATACAGTGTACAGGCCTGCCCCCACCACAACCTAAATGTCTACCAATAGGGACAAATAGAAATAAATTATTGTTTCCCAGTATAATATATACTGATATAGAAAAATGTCCAGAATATATTAATGAGAAATTAAGTTGCAAGATAGTATGTATTGCAGGATCTGTGTGTCTGTGTACACATATATGAGTGAATGTGCTCATGCACATGTGTTAGTAAATGCTTTTAAAACATCTAGAGGGAACAGCACACTTCACTATGGTTACCTAGGCTGATGGGGTAGGTAGGGTGGGATTTCAAGGAATGTTCACTTCCAATGTAATGCTGTAATTTTTAGTTTTTCTTTTAAATAAACATGTTTTATTTACATAAAGAATAATCTTAAAATAGTGTGCTCTGAAAAGAAAGGGTGAAACAGAAAATGAGACAATTTCTAAAAGTACTTGCTTATAATGCCTAGAATTGTGAAATTAATTGCACTTACTTGTATGTCATCAGTGTGGTTTTTATTATTTTACAAATTTCTCATCGTTTCATTTGAAGCTCTATGGCATCTCTCTTGTATCAGTTAATTCATTTAAAAAATATATATACTTTTATTGATTTCAGAGAGGAAGGAAGAGGGAGAGAGATAGAAACATCAATGATGAAAGAGAATCCTTGATTGGCTGCCTCCTGCACGACCCCTACTGGAGATCGAGCCTGCAACCCAGGCATGTGCCCTTACCCAGAATTGAACTGTGACCTCCTGGTTCATAGGCTGATGTTCAACCACTGACCCACGCTAGCTGGGCAGTTAATTCATTTTTTAATGATTCCTATCCTTCTACAAAGCAGTCTCTCCTGATGGACATATTTTAACTTCATCCTACTACCTATCTTTTTTATTTCACTGACAGAATTCCTCTCATATGAACATACCTGCAGGAGTAACCGGGGAAGGGAGGCCCCAGCTGGCAGCCGGAAGGCCCCGATTGGCTCTGATCACCAGCCAGGCCTAGGGATCCTACCCGTGCGTGAATTTCATGCACCGGTCCTCTAGTATGCCATATTCCACTACACCAACTGGGTTTAGTTATAAAATCAATTTTGTTCTCAGCCAGTTATTCTCCTAAGCTCTTAAGGAAATTTTAAAAACTTACTCATATTTTTGTCTTATTTAGATTGCAAAGACAGAATGAGAAGTGGGAAATGTGTCGCAAAGAACAAAAATATATCCTCTGCCCTGACCATCCAGCCCAATTAAAACAAAAAAGAAGAAAGCCCACATCGGGTAGTGTACTCTAAATTCTCTTCTCTCACATCAAACCAGCATCCCTTCCTTCTGTTCATAAAATTGAAGATAGAGATATGTATATAGAGTGTTGCTCTTCAGTAAGGGAATATTGAGTTTCAAAGTAGCAACTCTGAAAAAATCCTTTTTTCTCTTCAAAAAATCCACACCACATAAGAAAGTTGAGTCATGTTGCTTTATAGCCACATTTCTTCCTTTCTTTTAAAATAAACCCATCTAGCCCTGGCCGGTGTGGCTCAGTTGGCCCCATGTACCACAGGAGTGCTTTGATTCTCGGGTGGGGCACATACCCAGGTTGTGGGTTTGATCCCTGTTGGGGTACATACAGGGGACAACTGATTGCTGTTTCTCTCTCACATCAATGTTTCTCCCTCTCTCACTCCCTCTCCTTTCTTCTCTCTTTAAAATAAAATAAAAACACCATATTTTTATTTTAAAAAACAAACAAAAACTAAATTAAAAACCCATCCATTCATTCCTTACACATTTACAATATAATTACTATGTGCCAGTCACTGTGGTAACTGTGGGGCCCCAGACAGTGCCCGGGAGCTCTATTACTCATCTTGCAGTGAGTGGCGCCTGGGGTGGCTGAAACCCTTTCAGAAAATAAATCATACTTAGAACGTCTACATTCAGGAGTTCTAATTGTAATAATGATGGCATGGATCTGCCTCCCAGAGCCCCCTGCAAAAACCTAGGGCTCAGGAACCTAGGGCTCCTCAGAACACCACTTTTAAAAGACAGAAATAGAAAGAGCAAGAAACCTGTGAGCATTTGCACCGTAAAAACCGCCAGTATGAATTATAATGTCTTTGCTGACCACATACAACAATTAAGGAAGCAGTTATAAACTAGAAAAGAAACGCTTTCATCTGTTTCAGAATAATCTTATTTTATCGTTATGTAAAGTTTATACCACAGTAGTCAGCTTTTTTCCTATTAAAAACAAATATAGGGCCCGATAGGCATGGCTCAGTGGTTGAGCGTCGACCTATGAATCAGGAGGTCAAGGTTCAATTCCCTATCAGGGCACATGCGCTAGTTGCAGGCTTGATCCCCAGTAGGAAGGCATGCAGGAGGCAGCCAATCAATGATTCTCTCTCATCATTGATGTTTCTCTCTCTCTCTGAAATCAATAATATATTTAAAAATAAAAACAAATATAGAAATAGAGTGATATAAATACAAGTAGAGACAGCATGTGATAGGAGAATCAAAGCAGTTTATCATCAATAAATAGTTGATACATATCAGAGTTTAGGTGTAGCCAATTCTCTGTAGAAAGTAAAGCTCTAATCAGAATTTCTCCTCATTAGGAGGTCACCCTTACCTTTCGATCTCGGCTCTCTGGCTGGGATTGGTGATGGCCGCAATGTACTGCATGATGTACTTACTGGCTTCGGTTTTGCCAGCTCCACTCTCCCCTGGGGGAAAATTGTGCCAGGCTTAAGCAAGCTCATTTTTAATGGGATAATTTTAAATTGTCATGTTAGTTACTTATTTAAAATCCCTATGCTTTAATGTTTGCCTTTTTTGGAGTTTTGTCATCCTGTCTTGATGTGGTATTGGTTCTAGACATGTTGAAAAAAGTAAGACTATTGTAGAAGAAACATATAGATTATAAATCAAGATATATTTATAAAAAAATCATGAACTAAAATGTGACAAACTAGTTCCTTAGACTAGGCTTAGCCCTTCGCAGTGATTCTTGTCTCGAAGAAAAAAAGTAAGTTAGTGATTCAAACAGTAGCCACAGCTAAATGAGTATTACCTTTTTTCTATAACAGTATTTCCTTTCATTTTACTGGGGACAAAATAATTCTTTCAGAAAATGAAAATTAGAGCAATTTTGGTAAAAAACAATAACAAAAACCAGGCAGCAAGCAAGCTTCAGACACAGGGTATCACAGAAAAAGCATGACAACTGGTAAAAGGGGGAAGAAAAGGTCAATTTTGAATTACCTACCCCAATCTTTAAATGTCTATGCCTTCTGACCCCAAAATTCTACCTGTAGAAATTTATACTGTGGAAATAATAAAATACTAATATAGTAATAATCATCATGCTTTCCAAAAGGCTTTTTGCTGGCTACATATCATAGCTAAAATCTGAAAATAATATGCTCATAAATAGAGGATAGGGGAAATAAACTATGATTCAGGAACTACTACACAATTATCTGATGAAAAGATGTCCATTATATATTGTTAAGTGAAAACAAACAAGGTATGTAATAGCAGCTATAACATAATTCTATAATTGTGCATTTACGACATAATTATATATGCATGTGTAACTATATGTATTTGTACATGAAAGAACAGGTATAAAAGGATAAACACTATTGGTCATAGTGTTACTGCTGAAATTATTCTTTTTTTGGGGGGGGGAGGGACATTCTAAGGGAACGGACTTTTTGTGTTCACTTAATACAATCAGGCAATATTGCTGAACATAGTTTGTTTTCACAGAATGTAGTCCTAGGCTATCGTTCTCTAACTCCTAACTCTTCGGACCCTTGATAGTCTCCTCTATAAAGTAGAAACACAACCGCTTTACCTATCACTCAGAGCTGTTGCAATAATCAAAATGGAATAAAGATCATAAAAATGTTTTCAAAAGTATAAAACCACTCATGCAAAATGTGAGGTGCCATTAGCACCAGAAGAAGTTTCCACAGTTTGGGGGAGGCCCTCCTGGGTCAGCTCCACTCCTTGGGCCTTTGGGGTCCGTCTCCCTCCTGGTGGAGCACCCCCAGCTCTCCGAGCCTATTTCGGGGCCCCCTCAACACTAGCTCCCATTCACCACTCTGACTGAGTTCATTCTTTCATTCTTGGTACCAGGATTTCATTTTCTCGGTTTCACCCTGTCATTACCTAAAATAACTTTTGTTACAATTTGTCCGGTACTTTTATGTGTTTGAGATGGAAGGAATTTCCATGGCAGCTCAGTCTACAAAACTGTCTAGAGGTTCATCCAAACGTAACATGTATTTTGTAAATGAACCAAGACTAGAGGGTGGTCGGAAATGATATAAATAATTTTGTATGTTCATCACATTTTTTTTTTCTTCTAAAAATTGCTTACGTTTCTAACTTCAAAAAAAGATCTAATGAGACATTTGGATCCTTGAGTACCTAATAAACGAAAGACAGTCTAACCTTGGAAGTACAGGGGACCCCCTCCCTAAAATACCTGATATCACAATACAAGTGTCTTTGGATCGCCTCTTCATGGCCTTGTAGGCGGCATCGGCAATAGCGAACAGGTGAGGCGGCCTCTCGTACAGCTCCCGGCCTTTATACTGCTCAATCGTCTCTCGCCCATAGATGTTCAGCGACTTGTAGGGATTTACAGAAACGACAACTTCTCCAATGAATGTGTAGATGCGCCCCTTTTCAAACCTGTGCAGAAGTAAAAGGAAAGGAAGACGTAGATGTGGTTACACAGAGATGCTATTTCTTTTTTTTTTCTGTGCGTGTCTTCTCACCAAGAAAATCCAGACCCCACAGGCACACAGTTTCTGAACTGCCGTCTCCTTGGTTCTGAGTTTGCAGTTTAGAGATGACCGTTTGAGGCTGGGCTGAGTGAGATGCTGCTGCTGGGAAGGCCCAGTAGGTGTCAGAAGCCAAGAAAGAAGAAAGAATCTAATTCTGTGAGGGGCAGGGGATTCCTAATCTCCAAAATAGAGAAGGTACAGTAAGAGGGGGTAGGAGGGACAGTTGAAGACAACCTAAGCCCTCTAGGAAGAAAAATTAAGTTAAACCAGGTCTTGCATCAACTGAGCCAGATTTTCAATTATACAGAAAAAGGTCCAAATACATGTATTTCTCTTCCCTCTTGAAACCCCACTCAAATGTCAGAAAAGGGATAGAAACAGTGAATCCATAACAGAGAGGATGGCAGAGGAGACGTTTCTGGCATAAGTCAAATCCATTTTTTGAATGGCTGCCTAAAATCCCATGGGGTAGTCATTATTTATTTAACCACCCCCCTTCCTTCCTGCTATTTTGAGTAACACTGTAGAAAACACTCCTGACACAAAACCTTACAAATCAGGCCTAGCTGGTTTGGCTCAGTGGATAGAGCGTCAGCCTGCAGACTGAAGGGTCTTGGGTTTGATTCTGGTCAAGGGCACATGCCTGGGTTGTGGGCTCCATCCCTAATAGGGAGAGTGCAGGAGGCAGTCAATCAATGATTCTCTCTCATCACTGATGTTTCTCTCTCTCGCCCTTCCTCTCTGAAATCAATAAAAATATATTTAAAAAAACAAACAAACAAGAAAAACCCTATGAATCAGTGCTTTCATTTCTATGGGAGAGATCACCAGAATGGGATAACTGGTCGTAAGGTTTATGGGTTTTAAAAAGTTTTTATAATATGATCCTACCTTTTTACCATAAAAGGCGAAAAAGCCACCCCATATATGATTGGGATATGTAACTGCACATAGATATACTTTATACATGATTATGAAAGCATGGGAAAATATGGAAGACTGCATGCTGTCTTATGTATCCTTTATACATATAATAGGGTAAAGAAGAGGAGGGCCATGTGGGCAGCTGGAAGAAGCCATAGGAACAAAGAAAAAAAAGAGTAACCCCCCCCTGCAAAAAAAACCCCAATGTCTAGCATACATGCCTATATTTACAAAGAAAATAATTTAAAATTTAGAAAACCCAGACATAGTCACTATGTACATATCAACTCACACATATAAACATCTATGAACCAGAGCTAGGCCAACACCCAAGTGGACAAGTGGTTGCCACCATCCCACTCCACCTGCTGAGAGCCCCAGGCAGACACACAGGTTATTCTGAGAGCAGCATGCAGGGAGCGCCACGATGGGCAGAACGCTGACCTGGGCAGCAGCCGTGTCTCCAGCACACTTGCTGTGGGACAGGGCAAGCACTAAGCCTTTGGGACCACAAGGCCAAAAAGTACCTTCAACTTCCTTCGCATAACAACGGAGGCTGTGGCTATAATTAGGAGTGGAAACAAACAGATGTTGATAATGTCAACAGTAAATTAAAACCAAGATTTCTATCAAGTGGTGGCATATATTTAAATAAGAGCTATGAACTGCACCAGGGTTTTCTGTGCCTTTTTCTGCAGTGGTTTCCTGTGCATCCTCCGACTGTGAGCAAGTTTAAGGGTGGCTGCAAGTCCTCTGCATCTGAGTCTGAATGCTCACATTGCAAACTTATTAACCTTAACCGTGAGACCTCGGGAAAGCTACTTAGCCTCCAGGCGTTTCAGCTTCTTCATCTGTGAGACGGTGATAATTACACCCCTCTCCCCCTGGCATTGTGCAAGGCTTTAAAAAAGAGGCAATTAATTTTATGTTTCCAATTATGTTATGCAGGAAGGAGATTTTTAATAAATGCTTTCTTTTTATTATCATTGCTACTTAAATCACAGCGATCCCAACACACAAGGAATTAATCCAGTGATCATAATTCGCTTGCGCCAATAAACTAGCGGCTAGTCACAAGCAAAATGTCTACACAGCTCATGTTCAAAGACACACAAAAGTAATAAAAAGCGAAGCCTCACTACCCAGCCTGTCTAGCTTAACCTTCAAATTTGCATGACATGCTCAACAGCTGTCTTCAAGGATAAGAGTCCAAAACAAAACAGGATTCTTTTAGTTTTACAAAACACTGTCCACACAGGAAAAAAGGAAGAAAGAAAGGAGAGAGAAGAGAAGAGAAGAGAAGAATATTAGAAAAAATTACCTCATGAGTGTGGAACTTGGTGACTAAAAGGTACAGCAAATAACACATGAGATTAGAATGTTCTAAGAGTCCAGGTCTGTCTAATCATGACTTTCCTCCAAATTCACTTTATTTCAAATTAAATGATTTTGTTAATTAGAAGTTCTAGGTGACATTGAAAACACACGGACAGAACGATCACAGGCATAATTATTAACTTGCAGAGGGTCTCAAGGGTTCATCCAAATACGGTATTAAATACAAAGCTTCACCTCTTACAAAACATCCCAGGCTTATCTTATTTGAAACCATGGTTATCAAAGACGAAATTTTAATTTGCTTAGGCTGAAAACGACCGCTAGAGGGTGCCAGCAGACGCATGAACACCAATCCAAGGTTTCAATTTGCTCTGGAAAGTCTTCGGGGATGAAGTCAGCTTCCTGGAGGTAATGTGGTCACCTGCCTGGTTTGCCTACAGGGGCAAATGCTGTAATGATCCCTCCAAGGTTTCAATTTGCTCTGGAAAGTCTTCCGGGATGAAGTCAGCTTCCTGGAGGAAAGTGGTCACCTGCCGGTTTGCCTACAGGGGCAAATGCTGTAATGATCCTAGAGGACACATGGGAAGATGCCACCGCTTACAAGAGACCAAGATCAACTTTGTACCAGACACTGGGGCCTGACTCTGGGATTTAAGAAAAGAAAAAGAACAGGGAAGTACTGCAGATAGATAATAACAGCAGAGTATGATAGGTAAGATAATGAAAGCATGTACTGCCGTGGCCAAGATGACCGCACGCCCTTTCAATGAGGAGCCCTAAAGAGAAGTATGTGAACTTCAGGGCAGAGTACAAGGTCTTCTGTGTTCTGGTCTTAGGTTCTCTTCACGTGACTCTCCTAATTATCCATCAACGCCTCCCCGTCTCCTCTTTCTCCACCAAGCTCACCTCCACATTAATGAGCTGTTTACAGTTCCCACGAGCACCATGACTTCATGGTTTGCTCCTGGGGTTCATTCTGTCCTTTCCCCACCTGGTCTCTTCCTCCCCCAGCTGCTTGGCAGGTTCTCAATTCTTCAAAAGCCTCCACATCAGCTCCTCTAGGAAGCCGGTCTTGACACCCCATGTCCAACGCCAGGACCCCATCAAGAACGCCATGATGACGGTATTTGCTCTGTTCAGACATTTTCTTTAGAATTCCCCCAAAGAGTTCAAATAAGCTTAACAGCCATTGATGTTGAAAGCTGAATTTCTTTTAAGAAGTTCAAAACTATTTATCGAATGGACCAGCTGTTTTCCACTGGCTTCTGAATGAAAAACGAGGTTCCGAAAGGGTTCTGAATTAATGAGTGGCAACAGAGAAAATGTAAGAATGCCTCCGGAGGAGGACAACAGTCTTTTTGTACAGAATTTGGAAACATTTATTTAAACAGCAACTAGAAGGACTCTTGTTTCCAGGAGTAGGGAGCACTGACAGCCCAGGGTGTGACCTGGCCACGGAGAAATGTGAACCATCTGCAGTGGATACTCCTCACCGGCCTCTTGTACAGAGCCAGGAGCTGGGTGACTGTGTGTATGACACTTCAGAACATTTTTGGAAAAGTAACAAAACACAGTGTTCCCCAAAATGTGTATATACACTGTAACAGCTGAGAGCTCAATTTCGTAAAGGAAATGTATTTTAATAAACGCTGCCTTTATAATGATTCAAAATGTGTGTATCCATTTTGGGGGGACACCCTGTGTATGAGGTTGGCTGGTAGCTCCTACTGTTGCTGAACAAAGTGGTGAATGTAATGGATGAGGTTAGGGATTCAAATCCCCAGCTCCAGTGCCACAAAATGACCTGAAAGCGTTTGCAGGTGCCCTGAAGGAGAGAACCTGGTCTCCCACACCCAGGGCTGAGATCCCCGGCGAGCACAGCGCCTCCTTTTGGGCTGCAGTGAGAAAGACACAGCAATCACTGCTGTAGTGTTTACCCAACAGCGTAGAACAGCCGTGGGCAAACTACAGCCCGCGGGCCGGATCCGGCCTGTTTGAAATGAATAAAACTAAAAAAAAAAAAAAAAAGACCGTACCCTTTTATGTAATGATGTTTACTTTGAATTAATATTAGTTCACACAAACACTCCATCCATGCTTTTGTTCCGGCCCTCCGGTCCAGTTTAAGAACCCATTGTGGCCCTTGAGTCAAAAAGTTTGCCCACCCCTGGCATAGAACCTGAGTCCAATCAGGAGGGAACCTAAGACAAACCTACACTGAAGCACATGCTACAAAAGAACTGAAAAGTTTTGCAGTCAAGAAAACAGAGAAAGGCTGAATAATATTCCAGATTATAAGAAGTCAGAGACATAACCGCTAAAGCGCAAGGCCTGCTCCAAGGAAGTTTCTGGTGGTATTCTTGCAATTTTTCAGTACATTTGAAATTATATCAGAAATAAAAGTTGTTCATAAAAATCCAATTTCCAAGCTTCTTTATACAGTGGGATTAAAATTTTATTCATCTTGAACAGACAACACAGACTGGGTAACAGATTCAAAAGATACAAACGAAGAGCTAGTGACAAGTGTTTCATCTTTTATGCAGTTTCCCTCATCACAGAACTTTGACCCCTCTCTTTCCCGAGGCACTGAACTTTTGCAATGTTCATGAGCAAACTGCCAAGTTTCAATTCGGTTCAGTTCACCTCATCTAGAAGCGTTTCCTGTGAACTCTTCTAGAAATAGTTTATTCATACATGTGCATATGCACACATACAGTTTTTTACACAAGTGACCTTTTTCTCTAATCAAAATAGAAATCTAGGTTTAAAATGTATGTATTTCTTATTTCATATAAAGAGAATAGTTTCATTTTTTATGCCTGCAATAGTATTTAATTTCAGATCATATAATAGAACCAATCCTTAATGGATGAACATTTAGGCTGCAAACAGTGTTTTGGTACTAGGAACAATGCAACTATAATATAATGGCATATATTTCTTTATATATATATATTCTGTAGCACACATTTCTACACTTAAAGTTGCTGGTTCAAAGGGTATGTGTAATTTAAAGTTAGGAATGACTATCATATTATTCTCCAAAGAAGTTGCTGCAATTGAAACTTCCACCAATGACGTGTGAGTTTCTGTTTCCTGGGTGTGGTTAGCCAACGATGCTGGCCCATGTCGAAAGGGCACCCTATATTGCAGTTTTACTTTCAAAGGACACAGAATTTTGACCCCTTTCTTTCCCGAGGCACCAAACTTTTGCAATGTTCATGGGCAAACTGCCAAGTTTCAATTCGGTCCAGTTCACCTTCCCTGCTTCTGAGATGAGGATCTCTCCCAAGGGTGAAGGCATCTTGTTTCTGCTGCTTCTGGCAAAATCACGGTCTCCACAGGACGGACTCAACCTGTTTTACCCCCTTTGTTAGGCTGCACGTTCCTGAGCTGGGCAGGGACTGTGTGTCAGAGAGATTATGAGCTTTTGCGTCCCACAGCCCCGCGGCGCCGGGTTTGAATCCTGGCTCTGCTAGTTACTGATTGTGTATATTCATAAACATCTGAGTAACTAATAAGGGCCAGGCATGAGGCCAAGGGCCCGAGTTACGGAGAAGAATAAGGCATTGCATTATTATACTCAAAGGTCTGCATACACAGTGCTGTATAGTTCAAATTTCACAGGATAGATGGTTTAAAATTTACATATTTTTTATTTATCATTCTCCTCTCACACTCATTCTCTCTCTCTGTCTCGCTCTCTCTCACACACACCATTACACCGTTTCGGAAAAGATTTAAGATATCAACAAAGATAGAAAGGATGCTATGGAATCTTCAGAGAAAGGATACCTCACCCGGCTTTAGAAGTGGGAGGCTGGTTCAAAGCCAGCATCCTAAAATAGAAGTTATTTGACATCTGAACTAGTTCTGTGATTACACAATCTCCATATAGGTAGCTCTAGGCACTCCTCGGCTTCCACTGCCTTAAGAAAAGGACACTTTATTTTGCCTTTTTTTTTTTAACATACTGAATCTTGGAAGAGAATGGTGGGGAAACACCTCACTGCCCCCCAGTGGAGCACATGGTATCCCTGGTCCCTCCCCAGCAGGGGACAGAACAGGTGCCTTAAGAAGTGCACCTCGAATCCTAGCCCTAGCCCAACCCTAGCCCCGCCCCCACCCAAAAAAAGAAGTGCACCTCATCACCTGCAGTCAGCACTAACTAGCTCTATGACTGTGTGTATGTTACTTAACCTTTCTGGGTCCCACTTTCTCTTTCTTTTAGATTTATTTCTCAATCACAATGGACATATAGTGTTATATTAGTGTCAGAATGTATAACATTCTATGCCCCACTCTCTTCATCTGAAAAGTAGGGCAGTAGGAGCAGCGACCTCACAGCACTGTCATAGGAAACGAGATGCCCCACGCGCTGGAACGCTCGGCACACTACCGGTGGTAAGAGGGCAATAACACGAAGTCCCGTTCTCATTCTGAGCAATACCGCGGGCTGGGCTGTCTGAGCGGCAGGAGCCATCTCCCTATGCGCAGGTCCCTGGGCCAGCGTGCGGCCTCTGGGCTGTGCTGTTTATCCTCACAGCAAGGGTGGCTTCTGTTATGACGGTGAATCTCGGGCCCACTTGGCATCATGGAGGGCAAGCGTTCTAGTGGTTCCTAAGGACCCCCTAAAGCCAACAGCCCCTCCACAGACATAGGAAACCAGTGAGGGCGCTGGCGGTGGTTTTACTGACTTCCTGAGTTCAGGTCTTGGTTTCCTTCTTGAGACCAACACCTCTTCACGTGGGCAGCACGAAAGGTATTAACCAGAACGCGTGGTCAGCAGATGCCCGGCTGAATGTGGTTTACATTTTGTCTGTATATGTGTAGATGGAGGAAAATGTATTTTTCAAGATAAGGATTACTTTTACAAAACATATTTCTGTTATTTACTAAGGCATGCCTTGTAGAAACATAGTCACTCTGAATGTGTTTGACTGCTGTCTTTCATTTTATTTGTGTTCACTTGTTCATTCATTCAATACATAGCTACTCGGGCCCACATTCCAAGTCCTGTGTGTGCTGGGAGCCAAGGGGAGAGGGGGAACAGGCGAGCGCTGTCTCCGCCACAACGCAAGGTATCGAGAGGGACAGACACTCAATGAGAGGTAAAGGGACATGCACCCCAGGGGGGGTGGGAGGGGACCAGTGTCTGAGGAACCAGAGCAGGACATAGGACTACTCCACAGCACAGACAGCAAGATGTGTGCAGGGAGCATGGAATGTGCATCAGGCCTTGCAGGGGGTTTGGCCTTGATTCTAAGGGCAGAGTTGTTGTTGTTTTTTATTACTGATTTCAGAGAGGAAGGGAGAAGGAGAGATAGAAACATCACTGATGAGAGAGAATCATTGACTGGCTGCTTCCTGCACGCTGCACACTGGGGATCGAGCCCGCAACCCAGGCATGCGCCCTGACCGGGAATCGAACTGTGACCTCCTGGTTCATAGGTCTACGCTCAACCACTGAGCCACGCCAGCCAGGCTAAGGGCAGTGCTTTAAGTACTGATCACAGTGGCTTTCTTGCAAGCCCCCTCTGACCGCAGGGTGGGAAGGACAGAGCGGAGAGGAGGCTACAGAGGCGTTAGTCCCAGGACGGGCAAACTGCCGTGTGGGCTGGGATGGAGCAGTGGAGATGGAGAAGGGACTGTCTTTAAGAGAGGAAGCAGAATTGATCAGCCCGGATAACTTGCGGGATGTGAGAGGCGAGAAAGAGGAAGGTGTCAGGGCTTCTCACGGGAGCCACGGAGCAGGCCACGGAACTGTGTACTGAGGAGAACAGGGACAGGAGAAGAACAGCAGAATTTTAGGAAGTGGCCGTAGTTTGGACAGGCTGTGTTGAGTCGGAATTACCTGAGAGCTATCCAGTCAAGATGTCTTTCACTTTTCTTTCTCTCACAATTGAATGAAACCCGATCCCTGGGACACAAAAGGAAAACCACCCAGGACAGCAAACACAGGGAGGGCAACCAATAACAAGCACCAGGCAAGGTGGGCAAATGCTGTAGGGAGATCACATGTAACGGAAAAGCAAGAAAAGCATCTTAAAGCGGTAGGACACATATCAGGGTTCTATTTTAAATTTTTTTAGTAACTAAATTGGATAATGTCA